AGACAGCTCTTTTACACCTGTTAAGAGGACCTCTCTCATGATGGCACCAAAGAGTTTTTGACAGTTTGTCATGTATAATTTTCCCCAATAAAAATATTAGAAAATATTCAAACTATATAAAAATATTCCTATAAAAGATTGGTTGATCGAGCATCTGCCACCTAGATTCAAGAATTGAGCATATCTACCATTTTTGTGGATAGATATATGTATATGTATGTATAAACATTTTTGGCTGAACCATATGAAAGTAAATTACAGACTCATTAGACTTTACACCTAAATATTTCAGTATCTAACTCCTAAGAATAAGGAATTCTTGAAATATCAAACCTAAAAAAGAAAAAGAAAAAAGGGTTTCTAAAATGATCTATTATCCAGTCCAAATTCAATTTTCCTCAATTGTCTCCAAAATGCCCTTTATAGTTTCTTTTTTAGAGCCAGAATGTAAACCACATTGGATTTATTTATTTACACACATACACAGATTTTCTTTGTAGAGTTGGAGGGTCTCAAACTCCTGGCCTCAAGCGATCATCCTGCTTCAGCCTCACAAAGCACTGGGATTACAGGCATGAACCACCAAAATCATGTTTAGTTGCTATATTGCTTTAGCCTCTTTTAATCTTGAACAGTCTCTCTATTTTCTTTCTTTTTTATGGTACTGACATTTTTTAATAACAAAAATTTATTTCTCACAGTTTTGGTGCTGGAAAGTCAAAGATCAAGGTGCCAGCATATGGTGTTTGGTGAATGCCTTCTTGCTGAGTTCTCACTTGGCAGAAGGCAGAAAAGGAAGTGGAACAAACACTGTGTCCTCTCATGACAGAATGGTGCAAGAGGTACAATGACTTTTTGAAGAAACAAACTAATTGTCTTATAGAATGTCCCACATTCTAGATGCTGATTTTTTTCCCCTTCAGATGTTTAATTGGCTCCTTTTTCCCCAGTACTCTTGTAAACAGCAGATTGAGACATGATTAGGTTCCAGTTACACCTTTGGCAAGGTGAGGTTCTATATAATGCAACATAAGCAGAGGCATGAAATAAGAGGTTTTTCTAGTCGTGCTAAATTAGATCACTTAACTAACAAATGGAGCCAGTCCCTCCACTGTAGGCAGATACATTTGACCCTTTGCAAATAGCAATGTGAGGGGATACTTTGGCACTGAGTACAGGGTTACCCAACAAATTTTCTCCTAAAGCTTTTCTCCTAAACATTAGCAATCCTTGCCTAAATTAATTCAAAGAGGTTTTTAGAATGATTTTCTAATGTTTTGACCATCTCTTGTCAAAAATAGTTGTAAATAAAGAAAAACAAATGCATGCAAAAAATGTATCCAGAATGGCATATGCTAAAGTTTGTACTAATCGCTGTTAATTCTATGGTTATCCAAGAGTTGGTTTAGGCAGGATGTAGTATGATTAAGATACCCCACAACTCTAAAATTTTAATTATAGATGGGGATCTTTATAAAGGGAAAAAAAATCCTACAATACTTGTCTTTAGATAAGTAGTCCTACAAGGGTCAATGTAGTTGGAACTTGTAGTGTCTGGAACCAGCCCACCAGAATTCTAATCCATGATCATTCTATTTCCAGCTGTATTCCCTCATTATTCATTTGTCAGGCCTAGTGCGAGTTATTTTTTTTAAAGACAGCAGAGTTGTGTAATTAAATATTCATATTTGTACCAAAACATTCACAGCAGCACCCAGTACCATCTCCTTAGGCAATTCTTTCAAGTGTGAGCTCTTCAGAGAAAAAGTAAGTGGCCCTAAAAAAGGGCCTTTACCTTTGCCTCAGAAAAAGCCCGAGGCCACACTCTACGCCAAAGCCGTAGATAGTGCGTCCCTGACGCTTTAGCGCATAGACCACGTCCACAGCTGTGACCGTCTTGCTGCTGGGCGTGTTGCGTGTAGGTGAGGGCGTCCGGAATCACGTTCTCCAGGAACACCTTGAGCACTCGGGCGTTTCCTCGTAGATGAAACCAGAAATGCGCTTGACACCGTCACGCCGGGCCAGGCCAGGTGGCAAATTGCAGGCTTGGTGGTTCCCTGGATGTTGTAGCTTAACGCTTTGCGATGGCGTTTAGCACCATCTTTTCCCAAGCCTTTGCCGCCGGGTCTCACGCCCAGACATGGTAAATAAAAGCTGAATGGTATAGCTAAACAAAGCAACCACTCGCTTGCTGTAGCCGTTGATAGAACGATTTGTGGACCTTTTTAAAAACTAAAAGAGAACTAGGCGGGAAATGCATTGAATCCCCGCCCCTCTGTTTCTAGTAATACCAGGACCTAAGAAAAAACTGGAGGGAGATTTACTGGTATTTAGAGAATAAGAATCTCTAAACAGAAGTGTCAACTTGTACACAAAGGAAAGTACCTCGTCTTTTTATGCGTGTACATATTTAAAGATTTAATTCATTCCACATATATTCTTGGATCATTTGCCATACTAGAATTGAAACAAGCCCAAACTCGAAGAAATAAAGGAATTCGAACTCACTGCCAAGCCACAAACTACAGGAAAGAATCCAGATTTGGAGTTTGGAATCCCTGAGCAGCTACTCTCACACTGTGATATTAGACATCTTTGTTAACCTCAGACTCAATGACCTCATTTATAAAAGGGTAAGTACTTGTTAATAATTGAGTTATTTTAAACCAGATACTGGCATCTAGTTGGTAAACAATAAATTCTTATTGCGAACAAAATATTTATAATACAGACAAAGGTAAAGCACACAGGATTTCAAAACATTGCCAATACCAATACATACAGTATGTTCTAATTTATACATATTAAGCACTACACATTTAAACAATGAACGATTGCAAAGAAAAAAAGTATGTAAATTGCCAGAGGCTTATGTCCTGTTTTCATATGAAGGATAGAGGGTGGGAGGGGCGATTGTCCTCTCCTGGGGTTGATAAGGGGAATTCAGGCAAAGAGTTTCATAAATTCTAATTCTAGACAAAGGGATTTACACAATATGAGAAATCACTAGATTTTTACATTACAAAAAAAAATTTGCTGAGCTAGTTGCATGGGAGCATTTAAGAAGAGATAAATTATGTCCTTGAATAAAATGTTCAAAATAATAGTGCATTTTTATTGTGCTTTTATGATGTGCTAGGCAAACGATCCTAAAGACCATGGATTTTTGAGGAAGTGTCATCAATATCTAAAAAAAATGCACTTGCATGAATAAATGAACTATAAACTAATGAACATGTCACCACCAAACCAGCAAAAGGTACAAAACACGCCTATTTATGTCCAAAAAAACCCACATTGATTTCTTAAACCATGGAATCCCAAGCAATACAAGTATCAACCCCTATAAAAATTGCGACGATTGTTTTTTACCTTGTTATTTTGGAAATAACTAGATTCACAAGTTGCAATAATAGAGTTCCCTGAACTCTGAATCCAGTTTTCCCTAAAAATGGCATCCAATTGAAGGAGTTCAGAACATGACACCCCAAAATATGCCGCGATGGCATATTGACTATTTTGAGTTAAAGACCATTGAAAAACAGCAGATGCAAGCAAAAAATACTTTGAACTTTGTTTCCAAAAGCAGGAGTTGAAATTCCCCTGTGAAAGAGGCCCTCCCTATGGCAAAAGGAAAGTAGCATTCTTGAGGCAGGAGGGAAATCTATATAAAGCTTGTTAAACTAACTCTTATCTTTCTAGTTACGTTTTCACCCAATTAACTACCCTATCCCGATCCCCTTTGCCTCAGCACATTTTTAGCTTACTGCTTTGTCCAATTTAGTATGTACTATTCAACCCTGCATCTTGAGGGCTTTTATTCCTTTTGAAGACTCCCATACCACATAAAAGCTATATTACATACATACAGTTGTATGCTTTTCTCATATCTGTCTTGTCAATTTAATTCTCAGGCCTAGCCCGAAAAAAACTCTACGTGGATAAAGATTAAATTGTGCGTCTCCTTCACTATGTAACTATAATATCAAAACCAGGAAACTCATTGGCAAAATACTGTTAGGCCAACTGCAGGCCTTACTCAGTTCTCACACGTTTTTGCATGGCCTCATTTGTAGTGTGTGTGTGTGTGTGTGTAGCTCTATTCAATTTTATCCTATATAGATTCATGGAAGTACCATCCTATGCAGCTACAAAACAGTTCTAACATCAAGAAATTTGTTTTAAACCTTTATAGTCACACCCACCCACCCCTTTCCTTAACAGGGCAAACAATAACCTGTTACCCACATTGTCATTTCCAAGATTATACAAATAGAATGCAATGTTTAATCTCCTTAGATTTAACATTTGCTACCGTTAGTTTAAGGACAATTAGGTTATTTCCAACCCTGGGTAGATTACAAATAATGCTGTATTAGGTTTGTTCCAGCTGAGAACTCGAAAATTATGTAGGGGACAGAATGCGGTTAATGGAAAACCGATGATTGTGAAACCATAGCCGCCGCAAGAGTCTGTAGAGTCCCCGGAGGTTGTAAACCTAACATTCCTATCCTCCCCCCTTATCTCTACAGGATGAGACTGACCCAGGGGTCCCAGAAACCGGTTGTTTAAAAAAAAATTTATTGCAGCAGCTGTTCTGGCCCAGGTACTCGCTCCCCCCTAAGAAACCCTCTATTAAACCAAGGTTTTCCCCTCTTTCAGTGTGGATGCTCTTTGGCCTCCACCCATCTGCACCCAGATGCCCAAAATAAACAGCATTTTGCTACACATGAGGTTCCGTGTTTCTCTCGGCTCCGGAACTAACAGTAAGAAACTCGCACATTTTTTACCTGGGTCTTGATTTACTTTGTCCCAGATAAAATGGAGGACACACCAGCCCTGTTGTGGGAAATGGTCGGGAGATTAAGGCCGTAATCAAAGGCTCGGCAGCCAAGGCGTCCGGGCTCCACCCACGCGCCCTACCACCAGCCCTTACTCTCTGCTTCAGGACAATTTACTCCTTTGTGGTACAGCTCTTGAAATTGAAACCGTAGGTGGCTCTGAAAAGAGCCTTTGGTTTTAAGAGTTACGCAATCAGGAAAACAGCTTACGCCCTCTCCCCACGAATGCGGCGCGCGAGCTGGATATCCTTGGGCATGATGGTAACGCGCTTGGCATGGATAGCACAGAGGTTGGTGTCCTCAAAGAGACCCACCAGGTAGGCCTCACAGGCCTCCTGGAGCGCCATCACCGCCGAGCTCTGGAAGCGCAGGTCGGTCTTGAAATCCTGTGCGATCTCACGCACCAGACGCTGAAAAGGCAACTTGCGGATCAACAGCTCGGTCGATTTTTGGTAGCGGCGAATCTCCCGCAACGCTACGGTGCCAGGTCGGTAGCGGTGGGGCTTCTTCACGCCGCCGGTGGCCGGAGCGCTCTTGCGAGCCGCCTTGGTAGCGAGCTGCTTGCGAGGCGCTTTCCCGCCAGTGGACTTCCGCGCTGTCTGCTTCGTACGAGCCATGAGGGAGTTCTTTAATAGATAGTCCCTACTGAACAATCAGCATGTCTTGCTCCTATTTATAAAGGCAAAGTTCTCCTGATTGGTCCGAATCTTCAAATATCGCGCCCTGAATTGTTACTTGATAAGCCCTGTGATTGGCTACCAGGTTTCATTTTAGAAAACCTTAACCTAGGCCGGCGCGGTGGCTCTCGCCTGTAATCCCAGCATTCTGGGATGCCGAGGCGGGCGGATCGTTCGAGCTCAGGAGTTCGAGACCAACCTGCGCAAGAGCTGAAAAAATAGAAATTAGGTAGACAACTAAAAATATGTATAGAAAAAATTAGCCGAGCATGGTGGCGCATGCCCGTAGTCCCAGCTACTCGGGAGGCTGAGGCAGTAGGATTGTTTGAGCCCAGGAGTTTGAGGTTGCTGTGAG